ACCGAACCTCCCACCTACCTCGACGCGGCGTGCCCCGTCGAGCTCCGGGTACGTCTCGCGGCGCTTGCGCCTGGCAGCGGCCTCAACCGAATGGCCTGGTCGGACATCATCATGTGGCTGGGCCTCGCCCCGACGCGTAACTGGCGGAACCATCGAGCGCGAGCTGGGAGCCATGCCACAAAGGGAGGCCGTTGGCACACCCGGCTCCAACTCCTTTTCGGGGGCCCCCCCTCAAGAAATACAATAGTCCCTTGTGGGGTCAACAGGCACGAGAAATGTATTTCACAGGGGTCGTGCATGTCCTGGGTTTTAGGCTTCGGAAGTTGACAACAACAGGTTGACATGCAGACACTCATGCAACTACTCATGCAAACACTGTCTCAGAAACTGTCTCGCAAGCACTCCTTTTCGCCGTCCATTCCTGGTTTCACGAGATGGTAGGTCTGGCACTAGGTCTGGCTGTAGGTCTACAAAGCCCCATGACCCTAGTGGTTTTCCAAGGCAAAATGCCTGCAGCATGCGCGCGATAAAACACATGTGCATGTGAAAACTCCGATAACAAAAAACCCCTTGAAATACATTTCCCAGGCTGTTGTATTGTGGCATGTACACCCCCCCCCCGGAAATACATTAGTTAGGGGCGGGTCTGCCGTTGGCGACGACCTCCATGCGCCGCCGGTCGCCAACGGGCGCGTCGAGGTTCATGTCGGCCAGGCGCCCATTTTGCACTCACATCACCTCGTGTCGTCACATCAGAGTCAAAAATAAAACGAAATGAATGAAAGGACCGCGTGCCGCAGGTATTCGTGAGTATTTTGCACTCACACCACCTCGTTTCGTCACATCAACAACAACGGCTCAAGACAAACAACGATAGAATCACAGCACGTTTGAACCAGCCATTCCCCGGATAACCAGCCATTACCCATGCACACGCTCGAGTTCACAAGGAGGAGCTGGTGCTGGTTGTGGAAGTGGTGGTACTTGGCCAAAACATTGGAAACGAGGGCTCAAAAATGTGTATCCTGTGTGGACCCAGAATGATACCCTGAACGTAACTACAACGATACCCTTAGTGTGGCCGAAACCAAGAGCCCACCCAAGCTTCCAGCCGGCCTTCCGTGTAGACGCTCAATTCCCCAAGCACTCGTTCGAGACACACAGACGTGTCGTCATTGCGTTGTAGCGGACTCCCCTATTGCACGCTGGATCGATGCGATTCCACAAGCTCCCGTTCGACACACAACCCCGCACATCAAGGCCCCCACGTAGATGCTAGAATTCGCCAGCGCCAACTCGACACACAAGTGGCAGCACAACGTATCAAAACCAGCCATTCCCCATGTAGACGCTCAACTCCCCAAGCACTCGTTCGAGACACGCGTACGTGGAATCATTGCGTTTTGGCCGAATCTTCTCTTGCACGCGGGACCGACGGGATTCCACAAGCACCCGTTCGAGACACACCAGTCGTATCACGGCACATCAAAGCCAGCCATTCTTTTTTTTTTTTGTAATGCAGACGCTGGATTTCGCAAGCACCAACTCGACACACAAGTGGCAGCACAACATATCAATACCAGCCGCTCCCCATGTAGAGGCCCAAGTCCGCAAGCACTCGTTCGTGGCATCATTGCGTTTTAGCAAAATCACCTCTTGCACGCTGGATGGATGCGATTCCACAAGCACCCGTTCGAGACACACGAGTCATATCACGGCACATCAAAGCCAGCCATTCCCCATGTAGAATCATGTAAACGCTGGATTTCGCAAGCGCCAACTCGACACATAAGTGGCAGCACAACATATCAATACCAGCCATTCCGCATGTAGATGCTCAATTCCCCAAGCACACGTTCGAGACACACATACGTGGCATCATTGCGTTTTAGCGGAATCCTCCCTCGCACGCTGGATCAATGCGACTAAACACAACGCGATGCGACTTAACCCGTAGACCCAGTAGGCGGCAGTGCCGGTGTGGGCAAGCTTTGGGTATGTCTGATGTCGCCTGTGGTGCGCGGCAGCAGCCAGGGCGCAGCTGGGATCGACATCAGCGCAGGGGTGGGCGCCGCCGAGCCGTGTGAGGGGCGACACGATAGTAGCATCAATTGCTAGCTAGGAACCATGCCGCACAGAAAAACCGTTCGCGACGACTACAATGCGCCGCGCGTCGGCTACCGGCACATCAGGTTTCATGTCGGAGAGCCGGACATTGCGAGCGACCCTCGCGGCAAAAACGTGCTACAGCGTGCTCGAAGGGCCGGAGGTGGCGCATGCCGTGCGGTGGTCATTGAGCGAATCAAGCTGACCGCGACAGCTACACCTGCGCTGCGCCAGCGGCAGCGGAGCCGTAGGGGCGCAACAGGACGCGAAACAGGGCGCTGGCAACGGTGACGTCATCCCTTGAGGGCGTGACGTTGAGGGCACGGGCAGCGGAAAGCCCAGCTTGGGACAGCAGCAGTGCACGGGATGCGGGTGTCACGTCAAAAAAGTGCATCTCGCACGCGTGCTTGTCGCATGCATGGGCGGCAAGCCGCTGCCAGCCTTCGAAAGGCCAGTGGTCGCCAGGGGCTTCAGGGAGGTCGGGACGGGTGGACCATTCCGCGGCATTAAAACCGGAGTGGCAGAGGCCAACACTGCAGCGGCGGCGGACGGCAAAACTCCGTCACCGCGCAGTGCTGACATGCGCGCGAGCAAGGATGATGTGGAGGGTGTCGAGCCAAGACGCCCAGTGTGCCGCGTGGCGGGCAGCGTTCGCGCAGCGCAGGCCGAGCCCACCGAACCGTTAGGGGACTTGGGCGGCTCGAAGACTGGGGTTTCAAGCTCGAGCAGGCTGGCGAGGCACTGCGCCACGGCTGCGTCATGATCAGCAGCGTAGTCTTCTGTCAGGTGCGGGGCCAGGATGCGCAAGAATTGGTGCGGGGAGCGGCGCAAGATTGGAAGCAGCCAGGCAGCCTGTAAGTTTTTTTAACAAGTCATCGAGGTGAGGAATGCGCTGCAGGAGGCGGTAGTGCTCGACGTGGTTGCTCCGGAGTTGATGGGCGACGAGGTCATCGTGGCCGAGAGGGGATCCCAGCACAGTGAGGCCTTGGTTCACGGTAGGGCAGGACCAACTCAAACAGGCTCAGCGGCGCTGCCACCGAGGTCACCGGAATCTGCACACAAAAAGCCTCTGAGCAGCATCCTGGAAATTCCACGGCAGTCATGGCAATCCTGACCAAACTCTAGCGTTGGTTAATTGCAGCAAAGGTGCACTTACGTATACTGAACCGAGCTAATTCTGCAATAAGCCATAGGGGCAGATTGGGTTTAGAGGCATTAAATATTGCCGAATGATTCGTCCCACGTAGGTTTCTGCAAATAAACATATTCTTTGAGATGGACACGCTTGTCGGTCGATATTCGTTCCAACCTATCAAGATTGTCGGAACTAAGCTGTGAGTGGTGTTACGCCACGAAGTTCGATTTTGTAGGCTTCCGCGGAATCAAGGTATGGACGGCATGCTGTGGTCAACGCATTCGTGGCCTCGGGCGGCCACCGGGCACCGCAGGCGGGGCATGCAACTTGCAGACATTGGCAACGAGGTGGGCAACGCAACCCAAATGCAACGCATGGCGTCAGTCACGCCAGGAAGGTGTTTCCGGGCCGTCTGGGGAACTCGCAAAGGCAGGCCGGGCACGCTCCGTCGAGGTGATGAAGGTGCATCATTGCTCCGCAACCAGTCAGGATATCAGGAGTGGACGTCGCTGCGGCAGGTGTGTACACATCCGGCATGGCAGGCGACGTTGCAGGCTTGGCATCGCCAGGGGAGTAGTCAGGAGGCTATAACAGGAAACCCCAAACCCAACAAGACAAGAGGGCAAAGCCGCGGAGTCGCCCGGGCGGCTTCGGACGGGCAAGGCCGAGGTGGGAGATGGTGGGAGTATACTGAGTCCCCCCCGGAGACTCAACGAGGCCCCAAACAACCGTGACACGCAGAAGCACAAGGAAAGAAATGGAATCCCATGAAAGGTGAGGGAAAGGGCCATCAGCAGAGGGGCAATAACGGAGAGCGCAAGAACGCCAGACCATTGCTCCAACCACGCCGCGGGGCTTCACGCATGCAGTTGGGGATCATCGGCACCGCAGCTCAGGGTAAGTGCGCTCCACGTTGGCGTGTGCGATGCGGAGGATGCACCGATGGTGTGGCGACAGGGCGCTGAGGGAGGTCTCTTGCATCGAGGGCTGACCCAAGCCTTTTTTCTCCGACGTGTGCCTCCTGTCCCGTGGTAACGCCAGTCCAGAAACGCTGCGAAGGGCTCCCCTGCCTGGGGGCGGCCTTGCACAGTTGTGCCAGCGCGAATGCAGGAGCTAGCGCACCACTTGTTCGCAGCCCTCGCCCTGCAGCACGACGTGCTGCCCATCGGGATAACATGGTGCCATATCGGGCACACCAGCGAAGGGGCGAAATCCCGGAGCTCGGACAGGGAAGCCGTGCAGGAGACGGTATCGTAGGCGCATCTGTCATTCAACGAAGCGACCTGACACTGACCTGACACGAGCCTAGTGTCGGCGGCGACGGTTGTGCTGTCGGGCTATGATGTTGAGATCGCGGAGGAGGACATTGGCACATGTTGGCTTCGAAAATGCTGCAGCTGCGGCATCGGCTTCTGTACACGTGTGTGTGTGTGTGTGTGTGTGTGTGCGGCAGCACGTTTCAAACGAACAGAGCGAGAGCGGAGGAGTCCTGCACACGTGCATGGTGCACGGTGATTAACCACTGGGCACGGCAACTACAGATGCAGTGGCAGATGCAAACGCCGGAGCTGGAAGCGGCCACCCCGACGTCTGAAGCGGATTCCGGCGATTGCACTGGTGCTCCTGAGCTAGCAAGGGTGTATTAGTTGTGGCAGCATCGAACCAGCAAACTCGTGAAGGAACGCTGATCCCGAATTTTTCCCTCTCGCACCGCTGCGCATCTTTGTCGCTGCGGCGGTGAGTCACCAGTGCCTCGGCACAGCCGGCGCACGGGCAGAAGTCTGCAGTGGTTCCTCGAGCGCAGGACTTCTGCGCAGCTCAGGCAAAGGTCCTTGGCAGCTGCTGCTTCCATGTGTGGCTTTGGGACTGGGCATATCTTGGCATGCTGGCATAGCAGCAGCCGAACCGCGGACAATGTAAAATCATCTCATCCTGACAGAGATGGCGCACAGAATTGGCCCCGTTTTGCTCTCAACCTTTCGGCCTGTCCTCCTCAATCTGATCTCGGCCACAGTGGCTGCACAGCAACCTCGACGAAGGTCGAATCGAGCTTCGTGTCATCGCGTGCAATTCGTTTCATGTTGATTCCAGGCTTCCCCCGCACCCAAGCCCCGTGCATGAGATCGTCGGTGCTGCTCCGCAATCTGTAAGCTGCAGGAACCCCTCGAACTGGCTGCAGCAATCCATGCCTCGCATTGCGAAGAGAGCCATGCCACGACGCCTGATCCCAATGCCTCCTGACGCCTGCGAGGGCATCGGAAGTCAAAGCGTACCATGGCTCGCCGAGGTGCCTTCCGATACCCACCAGAGCGAAGTGGCATTACAGGCGACTGACAAGAACCCAAACTAAAGCAGAGAGCGAGGACACAGTCCGCTGGGTGAGCTGCAACAACATCGCCAGCTGGGGGAGCGAATCAACATGCAAAATTAAAACGAGATCGTCGGTGCTGTCGTTGGTTATTCATCTGCCGTTGGGCGACAAGTTAACACGAAGCTTGTGCTGGGGGACCGAAGCACATGAAGCAGCTTAAGCAAGGCGTGTCTAGTCATGTCATGTCTGGTCTGACCTGCAAGCGTCCAACTGTTGCAACAGTCACGACCTGCCAAAGCAGAAGCCACCCAAACGTTGAGCATCATGAGTCATTACGAGTAGCATCAGCTGCCAACTGGCCGCCCCGAGCAGCAAGGAAGCAGGCCCAGGCACCGAACGTCACGTGCATCTAGAAACTCGTCTCTCCACCAATCCTGCCCCATTCGCTTGATATCCGACCGCCGACCCCTCCCAAACAGGGTTCAGTGAACTCGCAAACTAGTGGGGTTTGGCAGAATTGTCCCTGATTCGGTGGGTCATGCCAGCGCTGTCAAGCCTTTCCATGCATGTCTGGGCATGCCTCACCCACGGCTCGACCTGCGCGTGTGAAGCAGATGGCACCTTGGCTGAGGATCATGCCAACGCCACAAAAACTCATCTGACTGGGAAGGTGGCGCACTCGCCAAGGGCATAAGTTGCGACGGTAGGCTACCTGTTAAGTCAGCAGGAGTCAGAGGTCAAAGGGCCTATCTTAGCTAAGCAGCGTCCTCACCGAAGGCATCCAGAATAGCCACCCGCGCTGCCGAAGGGAGGGGAGGAGCAACAGCTGCCTGCGGCGCGACAGCCAACAACCCGAGCTATGGAAGCAAAGCTGATGTAACCTTGGCCTCAACGGCACGCTGCAGGACTGGTAGCTGTGCGGACTTAGATCTGTCAAGCGTGCATCTTGTATACCGATGATTGCAGAAGATAGATGCCGCGAAGCAGACGGACTTGTTGCGCTCGGTAAGTTTGGCACCCAGATGACGGGCGAGAGCACGCATCTGACCTCTTCAGACATGCCCATCTTCTGTCTGTGGTCTCGTGACGACCTTTGTTGCAGAGGAACAAATCCGAGGCAGCGTCGGCTGCCTTTCCGGCACGGCCTGGTGGATTGTGCGCTAGGACAGCAACAAACACATCAATGCTGCACGAACCCAGCCCCAAGCCTGTGGCTGACAATCTCGCAACAGCATCTATTTTGCCGAACTCAATCAGGTGTATGATGACCTGGTGTTCGGGTGAACTCTTCATGTCTTAACATGCCTGGCCGGCTAAGTTCTGCTGGCCTCGAGGGTTAGTCTTTGAGCGGCGGCAGGCCATTCCAAGCCCATGGTGGCAAATGGGTAGCTCTCATCTTGACACTTCACGAATCCTACGATAGTTGGACAGTCCGAGCCAGTTGGAGAGCTTGGTTTGTCGCGCCTTCAACTTGGTTGGTGCATGGCACTTTGAAGCAGATCGAGCCTGATGGCCCTGATGGCAGCCTGCAAGAAGGCGAAGGCACGTATGATGGGCCGTGCGCATGCTTTGGTGCTTGTGTTTCGTGACTCGTACCATGCACATCCACACTTTCTGGAGGCACTGTTTCGGCGATCCTCTGCGGGCTGTTCTGTCCGTGCCGTGCCTTTGCGGCTGAAAATCGTCGCAAACTACTGCACCTGCAGCTAGGAAACGGGGAACTAGCCTCCGCTCAACGGTATGGATGCAAGGCAGCGGTAGAAACCTCGAGCAAGGCCATTCAAACATGAGACCACGTTGCTAGCAGACCGGCGTCTTGGATGCTTTCGTGCAGCCGTTGTCTCCCATCTCGTCCAAGCAGGAAAGTTGGACTTCTTTCAGCTGCACCGCGCCGAAGTCGACCTGCAAGATTCTTGCAGTTGTCTGGTTTTGCTGAAGCCGCGAGATACTGTGGATGAAGAAGCTCTTTTCGCCGGCGTGCATCCGGAAAACGATGTGGTGAGACTTGCAAGCTGTGTCTCAGCCCGCTTTGGGCTCTACTTGCTCTTGGTCACGGTGCCAACGAAGGACCTGCCGTGAAAGATGCGGCACGCACCGGGCCCGTCCTGAGCTGTTCTGTGAGGCCCTCACCTCCTTGTAGGCCAGTTGGCCGCCGAAGATATCCAAGGCACTGCCTCACCAACGTCGCGAGAACGAACGGGCCTGCCCCAGCGTGCCAGCAGGACCCAGCAGGCCTATGGTCGCGTCCACCCGGCCATGGCCTAGCGTTCGAATTCTTTCCATGTCCTGAGGGAGGTCAGGGGCAAGCCGCAAGGCCCGGCCGTCTACGTCGCATTACGTCGCCTAAGAGGGGACATGCGGAGTATTTTCCGGCAACCCGGGTCCGGACCCTAACCTGGTCCTTCAAGGGTCTGAAATTTCGGACGAGCAAAAGAACAATGCACACAAACAGCTTTTTATACGTCTCCATTAAGGGGGATCGCTTTGATCGGGGTGTTTGGTGCGGGAAATTTGGGGTTCAGGCTGTGGGCTTCGGAGCTTTGGGCATGGGCACTTGGAATGTCTGTCTGCTTCTTCGACGATACTGCATGTTTGACTATCTGTCTGTCAAAACACGTCTTTAGGCCCATAACTGTGCTGTTGTTTGCTGTCGCGGCTTCTTCTACACCCAGAAACCCCAAACCCAGACACGCTAAACATCCCTAAACTCAGAAACCTCAGAACCCCTAGACTTTTGACTCTAGACGAAGATATATGCCCTCTGAACCTACAAATCCTAAAACCCAAAAGCCCCAAAAAAACGCTGCACCCAGAAACCCTGAACTCATACAACCCGGGTCCGGTCCGGACCCGAGTTTCCGCTTTCCGGACCCGGGTTGCAAGATGATCGGATTGGAATATTATTCCGGAACCCCCCACCCCCCTCTTGAGTTGACAATCAACCCCTCCCCCCCCTCCCCCGCCGGAATAAATATTTAAGACACAGACCGGTGTGGCTATGATCGACCGAGCGTCTTCCAAGGATCGAACTCCACCTGCGTACCTGACCGCGTGGCGGAAACAGAATCCCCGTCGCTCACCCGGAAAAATTCCGCGGGGCACGTCACCGGAACGGGTGACGCCGCCAGCAGCTGGACAAGGGGCTCCTCTTGGACATGCTGGAAAAGTTGTTTTCTACCCTATGCTGCAAGGCCTCGATTCCACTCTGCAGCCCTTCCACGTCAACTCCATGAACGAGGAACTCACTGCAGTGCTCGGCCAACTCCTTGAGGGTCTCCTGGGGGTGACTCTGGTGACCAACGATGATACACTCATGTCATACATGCGCCACGCTGCCTCAGAGACCTCCAAATCAGTCCACTTTTGCCAGCGGTCTGTCACCACCTCACGGATCAGCCTAGATCATGCTTCAAAACGTGGCTTGGGTCCTGTGCCAAAGCGAGTCAGCCCACCTTTTCGCGTGCCGAGCTGTAAACGAGAGGTCTAATGCGTCGAGCCCGAGTTAAGAAACAAGCAACTCACGATTCGGATCTCCGTAGTGATGTCTTTCTTCGTTGTACAGCTTGGTCAGGGCAGCAACATACTTCGCATGTGCTTCCTGCACTTCTTCGTCGCTTGGACATCCCGCGACTTTACACTCGAACTCAATCGGTGCTCCCATGACGACGTGTACCGGGTATCGTAGTGGCAGCAGACCCAAAGCGCCGTAGTACAGGGGAATACAAATGCCAAATCTTTTGCGAAGCCATTCCCGAGGTGCTTTCATGAAGCCGGTAAAGGTCCTGTAAAGGTCTACACACCCGAAGACATAGCATGGTGCTACGGCTGCTCGCTCTTGCAAAGCGATCTTGATGAACCCCATCCTCTTGGACAAGTACACTTCTTCTTTGCCCTGGACGGTACGAATCTGTTCGTGCTCGCCGCCGGGAATGACCATCAGGCTGTGGCCCTTACGCAGGGCACGGCAAGCCACACTCTTCCGTGCATCTATACATCTTGTCCACAATGAAAGTTCTCGGACCATTGGCAGATGGAAGAGCACCGAAGCACTCAAAGTAAGAACGTTCCGATGCGGCAGTGCCTCGTAAAGCATGCCATCGAGCATGATACGATAGTCACTTGCGACACCATGCGGGTGAATCGCAAGCACAACAGGCTTGTCGACTGGACGCTCGTACAGCGAAGTATGAACATGAATACGCAGCTGGAGGTATCGCCTGAAAGCATGGTAGCCCCACTCCTGACGGGAGAACCATGGCCAGGCCGCTCCGTCACCGAGTTCGGCATGTGAGAGAAAGCGCGCCCACACAACATAGCCGAACGTTGGCAAGCACAGCAATGGACAATACCAGCAGCCGATGGCGAGTAGAAGAGGGGAAGCAAAGCAGCTAATCATCACAAAGTTCCAATAGAAGCCAAGTGCAAAGGTATACTTGGATCCCTCTGCGGGGTCTCCCCTTCCCGGTTGCCATAGAACGCGCGGCAAAATAGCGGCGAACAAGCAAGCCACTGAAGCCCACCGCCAGGATGGGATGCACAAGCAGCAAACACCTGTGAGGGGGTTTTGGGTTTTGTTATTTTCGGCTAGATTGGCGGCTGGGAAGGCTTCGTCCAACTGCCTGGGATTCGCAGTCTTACGAAAGTGCTGACTGTGTCTCCTTCAGAAAATCAATGACACAAGGTTCTTCTGTGTGATGGAGACATCCCACTCTTACCTCAACCCTATGAAAGTGGCACCTGGCAGGAAACTGACGAACACCAGCGCTGTAAGGTGCAGAGCGGGTGTGCAGTCTGGACAACAGCGCGAGTCGAACGTCACATATTTCGCCATGGCTGCGACGGCAGAGATCCCTGTTCTTTCTGATCTGATGGTCAGGTCGGTCGGGGCATAACCAACTGCTGCTTATCAAACCAACGCATTAAGATTAAGAACCATGATGAGGGGCTATGGCTGGAAAGTCTACGAAGCTGACTCAAGGCAGGAAACGAAGGCAGCGAGGAGCATCGTAGCAAAAGTCAAGTTCCTTCCAAAGCAGCCTTGTACACGGGCTTCTTCTCTTTGTCCTGGCTCGTATCACATTTGCAGGCCATGAGAATCTATGAGAAAACCCTGATTCGGAGTCGCTCCTCATCTGGCACCCGTCTGCAGCTCAGGTCGAGGACCAGGCGCTCCCGGCCTAGGGCTCTGGGACACGAACATCTCAGCAACTGCTTGGATTTTGGGGCTGCGCCAACTTTGTCGACCAATGCTGCAAGCCTCTCCTTGTCTACCTTTCCGCTTCAAGGGTGAAGTGTCTAGGGCATGCTGGCATGCTTGGATGTCAGGATGCCTTCCCATCATGGAACACGTAAGAAGTCACGATGACATGGCTAGCTCCTTGCATCTTGCGAGGAAACTTGTGTGCGCAATCTCGGCCCGACTGCCTGCATCAATGAACTCCATTGCGTTCTCTGCGTTGATTCCTCCACCAACCTGGGACCCGAAAACGCCGCGGTTGGTTTTGAGTCTTCAGTTCGAGCTCTGAGCCTGTAAACCGCCTGGGTACGCCTTCAGTGCGGCGAGCGCCTGTGAAAGTCGGAGTGTCGGAGCAATCATAACAAGCTGCCCATTGGGTGCCGCTCTTGAGACTCTGGCTGCCTCTTTGTTTGCTTCCGAAGCACCCAGCATGATTGCGTGCCCACCTCCTGCATCGCATGAGTTCTAGCACGTTTGCTTCTAGCCGCTGTCGTCCATGGTCTGCCCTTGCCCAAAGCCCCGCTAAGCGACAGGCCCAAGCCGTCATCTCGGTATCGTTCTGCGAACCAGCTTGATGGCCTCGTGCGGGTGATCCGCTTCAGCGGTGCCAGTGGGAGTGTTCGCTGAAGCTGAGGAGGGTGCTGAGAAGCCTCAAAATTCGTAACGAGGGACTTGGAGTCATCTTTCAACGTGCCACCCACGATTTGCTTCACCTGCCCATTGTGGATGTCGATGCACGGCCTGCGTCACCAACTTGTGAGAACGAGCGATCACTCAGCTCTCCTTGCCTGAACTTCATATGCCCAGTGGACCAGGCCGGCAGGAAAAAGATCTTCTAGAACATGTGTGTCTTGGTAGTAGGCATCCTCTTGCTTCAACATATCTGGCTAGTGTTGGCTCGCACATCGAGCCAGATGTGAGCGGGGCAACAGCCATGCCATCATGCCCCATGCCATATTCCTTGCCGACGAAAGAGGGACACTGGGAAACTCTTTCTCTCGGCCTGTCCGAAGCGCTCCATGAGCACACTGGCATCGAAGTTCTCTCGCGGAGCTGAGCGATCGTCGAATCTCGACCGTGCGTACCTTATTGCAGTCTTGGAGACGCATGGAACGCTTCACTTGCTTGGCTGTGGGCTGCACAAGGCCTGTGTTGCATCCAGCGCTAGCGCGTGCTGGATGGCATGCTTGGTTCGTGGGGCACGTCCGTTCCGCAGGCGCTTCTTTGGCCCTTTGTAAAAAACACTTGAACTGCCGCGCTCTGTTGGATTCTTTCTGGGACACGTGCTTCGTGTTCATGAGGGTAGCGTGAAGTTTGACCTGCAATCAAGGAAGGAACGGCTTTCTGCCAGGTCAGCGGCTGTGAAACAGTTTCTCCCGACCTCAGCGTGCTGGCCGTCGGAGGACAAAAGCCTCTGTGACATCAAGTTCTGGGAGGAGACCAAATTCCTCGCCTGGGCCGTGAAGGGAAGTGATCCGGAGGCTAGAAAAGCAACGCCCCCAAATTAAGAAACCTGGAACCTGTACAGCTGTACAGTCCTTAGAAGCCCAATGTGTTGGAAAGCGCCTGGAAGAGCTCAAACATCGAGTCGGCCATGGAGTTCATGCCTTGCGTGAACATCTGGGTCTTCTGTGCGAAAAAACCTGCTGGCGGAGTTTGTGAAGTTTCATGTTTGCAGTAGAGCTGCGATTCTGTAATTCCCGGGATCGATCCGTCGTGAACACCACTCCGACCTGAGCACGACTCACAGCAATGCCGTGCATAGCTGGACGTCGCCAGCAATGTCTTTGCAATGCCCGTGCCGAGGCAACGGCGCTGGTAGGGTCGTCCGTGAAAATGTGCAGGCCCTTGCAGTCTCTTCGAGTAGTTGCACGCATCAGATGACACGCAAGCACGCGCACACGCACTGGTGCACTCTCCCCTCAGTATCAACAGTGCTGCGATGACTGCGTCAGAGATAGGACTGGCTGTGATTGATTATGCACATGCTTCGGAACATGTCGGGAAACATGCAACCACTTCAAGGCTAAGATTTGGTGGCAAAAACAGGTCTACATATTTTTGAGATTCTCGGTAGCTAGTTGAATCGCTTGCAGGTGCATAGCTTCCACAGAAACTTCTCTGCTAACGTCTGTTCGTAGGCACAAAGAATCAACTGTAACAAGCTGATTGACGCCCGGAGCAAGACAGGGCATGCACAATCAAGCTGGTGATGAATTGCAAAGATGGTCTCGATTAGCAGCTCCAGAAAGACCATCAACGAAACAGTTGTCGGCCGCTTCTTTGTTTGCTGTACAACTTTCGGAGGCTGCGGCTAAGTTAGATTAGAGCAGCTGAATCTAGACACTGTTGCGCCTGCCATCATGCAGCAACCAGACGGCTTGGTAAACAAGTGCATGCAAGAACACACACACACACACACATGCACACACACACACACAGATATAAGGCTTGACCCAGACAAGGGGTAGATCATTTGTGAGTCGATGCTCCATGTATTTCAGAATGTCGTCGCAGTCATCGTCTCGGGTACTGCTTTGCTCTTCCTGGCTACGGGTCCTGCTGACGACAGGGCGTAATGATGCAAGGCCTTCGGGTGTCTTGACACGGGGATGCGGTCCAGTCCTTCGTACTGAATGGCCGAATGGGCAAAGGGTTTCTGTGGCTTTGCAGGTGCAGATTTTGGCATTGGTTGGAAGATGTAGCTGCGATGCCATTCCCCCCAGCTGTTTGAAGTCGAAGTTGCCCAAAGGCTGAGCTTAGAATCAGGGTGTGTGTGCGCGCACACACACACACACAAAAAAAACACGCTGAGCAGCAGCAACGCCTTCATGTGCGCCATCAGTGGTCGTGCATAGTCGGACGTTGCCGAGAGGCCTGGCACAAGCGCAAGGCCTGTACTTGTCAGGCAAAGCTCCACCATCTCCAACAGGCAGGGCATGCGAGCGGACAGGTCCTTCAATGCCTGATTGGGATGATGTCATGCAGGCTAGGTGAGAGCTGTCAACGTCAGGAGCAGTCTGCAGCGTCAGACCTCCTTCATCTCATCGACTTGAGCATGAGAGTGCAGCTTCAGCATGCACAGGGTGAAGTGCATGCGCCTGGCAGACTCTGACCTGAAATGCGACCCGACTGCTGACACGGTTCTGAGGAAGCTGCTGGGAGGGCATGAAGATGGAAGCATCTATGCCCTGGAAACGCTGCAGCACAACGTCCTGTGGATTCGGGGAAGAGGCGAGCTGGGCGGGATGGATCCACATGGCCTCGCCATTCCGCCGTCTTTGGGGAGATTTCATAAGCTATTCTTTAATTTTGTCTACGATTGCCCCCCCCCCCCGTCCCGACTTGCCAACAGCGAACGACGAGGAGGATGGAGGCTGGTGCAGATCTTTTTGTGTGCAATCTGGGATCCAACTCTCTTTGGCATTTCTCTGGAAGCCATTGATGTTCTACTGCAAGCTGGAGAGGCAGTTCCGCTTTATTGCGAGCTGTTTGTGGCTCACCCATCAATTATCTTTTTGACTTCCACTCTCTTCCAGCCAAGACTTTCCATTCGTGTCCTCTCTCGCGCTCGCAAAAGACATGAAATAGCTTCGTTTCCGACGAAACTCTAGGTGTTTTGGCCGACCCTTGTGGTGAAAGCTCTCGGGCTCTCTCACAAATGCAACTTAATTGAATTTTGTGCTGCAGCTTGCCTGCAAGGCAGACTACAAGCGTCTCTTGTTCGTGTCGCTCTCGAGGCGTCGGCTGGCACTGTGGCCCATGGCTGGGGTGCTAGCTCCTGCGCTTAGGGTGGTCCTCCCGGAAACCGTCCACGAGCTGCCGAAACTTGTCGTCATAGGCCAGCGGGACCGAAATGAAGTGCGTGTACTGGGAAGCTGCATGCCCTATTCTGAAGGTCTCCTTGATATAAAGGAGACTTTTTCAAAGTGCCTCCAGCTTGGCCTCCTCCTTCTCACAAAGGAGCTCTATGAGCGCCTGAACGCAAAGGTTGTAAGCACCTAGGTCGTAAGGATCCTGCTGCCTCCAGGCAGGCCCTGCCTTGCAGCTGTAGATGCTGCTCTTCTGTCGTGCTTTCAGATACACGGCATCTTCCAGCTCCTCATGAGTGTTCGAGCCGGTGGAAACATAGAAAGCAGGAGTGTCCGCAGAAGAAGCTCTGCAAGCCTCACGCTTTGGAACCACGATTTTGCATCCTGACCTGATGCAGATGAAATTTCCACCGATGCCTCGGCCCACTTCCAAGACCGCGGCTCCATCTCAAGCTTCTGCTTATTTCTGGCCTTCAGTCTCTGATACGAGTAATGACTCACTGACTGCAAGTTGCATCTTCAAAAGGTCGCTGCCCGTGAGCCAACGATGAATCTGTGAAATATGGCAGGCATTTCCATTCGGAATACCCACTCATCACCCTGCCATCAGTGTCAACGGCTTGTGTGCCGCACGAGACTGTGTTGCATCAACCGGATAAAGGCGGCTGCTTTCTGGCTCTATTGCGCTGCCTCGTAAACGAGCTGATCATCAAGCTCTCCCTCCTGCACCATGTGTACTCAGTGGCCCCATAACCCGGCTGGCAAACCTCGGGCTCGGATCCGAAGAACTACCCTGACCGGATGACGTTCCTCTTCCACTTCATCCTCCTCGTAATATCTGCGATTCCTGGAGAAAGCTGTGTGCTTACGAATGGCGCACGTGGAACCTGGGAGATAAACCTGCCAGGCAGACTCCTCGCATTTGAATTTCAGATTCTCGTCAACGACAAGTTTCCTGCTAGCTGCTAGCATTTGATGCGCAGCGTTGCTCGGAAGATAAGGCTTCGGGATGCAGTCGCCTATAGAAGGAGTTCCCAATTCTG